ATTCTTTTTTTTTTAATCCAGAAACTAGATGGAGCCATTCTATTGCTAAATTTCATGTAAATTGACTGAACTAAAGACCCATTTTTCTCTCTGCTGGAAGGGGAGGGAGGTGATAAATGGACATTTATATAATGGTCTCTGAAAGAAGCAGTTTTATACTTTTTTTTTTTTTTTTTTAAGTTTTAATTGCTTATAGAGCACATGCTCTCACTAGAGAGAGACAGAGTAAGAGAGGGTGAAAGCGCCCCCTAATGGTTGCTTTTCCTTCACTTCTCCATCCTGTTGGGATCTGGCACCTGCACGCACATGTGCCTGGCATGTAGGGCCAGGATTTGAACTATAGTTGGCCACGTGGGATCCCACTCCCTTAACTACTTGGCTGCAGGGCTAGCCCCATTTTTGCATTTCTTGAAGATGCTCTGTTCACCGAATAGTTATTACTGGACTTGGTCCCACATCAGGCTGTGAAGAGCTTTGTCACTGTTTTTTTTTTTGTGGCTACAAAGGAGTCTATTCAGTGGCTGTATCATAGTTTACATAGTAGCAGTCCCCTTTTGGTGCATTTGTAGGTTGTCACCAGGTTGAGCAGCAGGTACCAGATCACCTCATACACAGGTCCTTTGCCTGGTGTTAGAGTGTATTATTAGGACATATGTATTTTTTTTTATTTTCTTTTTTTAATTTTGCCAGAGGAAAATGAGCATTCTCTCAAAAGAAGGGGAGGGAGGAAGGAGAGAATGTACCTCCCACGGGGAATTGTCATATCACGATATCTTCTCCTCCATCTCTTCCTCCTTTGGGAATTTTGGGCACACACATGTGCCCAGCATATTTTTCAAACCACTGGGTCCAGGACTCGAACCTCGAGGTCAAGCATGTGAGAAGCGGCTGCCTTAAACACTATGTCACGGGCTGGTCCTGTAGGATGCATTTTTAGAGGGAGAGTTGATGGGCAAAGGGCCTATACCTTGTCATTTTTTTCTTTCTCTTAGTGACAGGGAACATGTGCAGCAGAGTGTCTGGGTAGTGTCTGGTTCCTAGCTTGTCTTCCCCACAGGTAAGCGAAAGGGTACGGCCAATGCTAGAATGCCAGAGAAGGTCACCTGGATGAGGAGAATGAGGATCCTGCGCCGGCTGCTCAGAAGATACCGGGAGTCTAAGAAGATTGCCCGCCACATGTAAGCACCCTGGCTTAGGCTCATGACCCATTTGCTGATTTGATGGCTCGTTCTTTGTTTTTGCTTGTTCTTTTCACAGAGCTCTGATTATTTTACTTAACTTTATTTATTTATTTATTTATTTTATTTTATTTTAATTTGACCAGAGAGGGACAGTGTGAGAGAGAGAGAGAGAGAGAGAGAAAGAGGGAAAGTGAGAAAGTAAGCCGCCAGGTCTGGGACTCAGAACTGCTGTCGATCATGCAGGAGTCCAATGCTCTTAACCACCATGCCATCTGCTGGCCCCATACACTGACCTTTTTGAAAAATTTGCTGTAGTCTTCATGCGCTCACCACAGAGATAGAGAAAGAGGAAAAATGAGAAAGCATGCCCCAGGGGGGATGGCTACACCATAGGATCCCCATTATACAGAAGAGGAAACTGAGACCCAAGAAAGGAAAAGCTTATCCAGAGTTTCAGAGCCTGTAAGTGGAGGAACTGACATTTGAATTCCTACCTGTGCTCTTCCTCTGGGATCTCAGCTCCCTCCCTTCTCTTGCCATTCTCCTCTAGGGACTTGAGAGCATGCATGTGCATGCATCAAGCGTGTTTCTCAAATTGCAAGGCCTAGGACTCGAACTGCGCAGTTGGCGATGTGGCTTCCAGTCGCCTCAACCACCATGCCACTGGCTCATGCTGACCATTTTTTTTTCAATCTGGCAGTGACAAATGGCATCTCAGTGTTTTCATACATATTCCCCATCCTGTGCTCTCTCCACCAGGGACCTGCTGCAGCTGGGCGGAGAGCTGGCCCGGACCTCACGGGCAGTCCAGGAGGCGGGCCTGGGGCTGAGTGCAGGCCTGCGGCTGGCAGAGAGCCGGGAGGAGGCGGCCCTGGAGAAGCAGGCATTGCTGCAGGCCCAGTTGGACGAGCAGCTGCGGGATAAGATGCTCTGCGAGAAGGACCTGGCCCAGATGCAGGTGCAGAGTGACCTGGACAAGGCTGAGCTCAGTGCCAGGTGGGTGCTGTGCAGCCCTGCAGGCTTAGGGAGGAGGCAGTGTCTGTTCATCAGGGATGGGCCCTTCCCCAGTGTGGGCTTAGCCAGTCTCCCCAGGCTCTTGCCCAGGGCACAAAACGAGCAGGTCAGCTGCCAGCGACAGAAACTGTGCTCCTGGCTCCTGCCACCTGGACGAGACCAAGGCTTTCCCATGGGATAAAGCCAGTGGTCACCCCATTTCCGTTTTACAGATGAGAAGTCTGGGGCCCAGCGAGGAGACAGGACTTGCCCATTCTCACAGCTAGGGAGGTGGTTCCTAGAGTCCCTGTCTCAGGCTTGGGGAAGTGGGGTGGGCCCCACCTTCACCCTGTTGGTCCCTGTTCCCAGAGTGACAGAGCTGGCCTTGGCTGTGGAGCGTCTTCAGAACCAGAATCTGGAGAAGGATCAGGTCAACAAGGCCCTCACTGAGAAGCTGGAGGCCCTGGTGAGATGTGGCTGCCAGTGCGCAGTGGCTGGTGGGATGGGACAGAGTGTAGCCCCAGACATGGGCGTAGGGCCTCCCACCCGGCCTCCTGTGTGTGCCAGCCTAGAAGTAGCAGTCACCTTCTGTACCCGTCTCATCCTGCCAGTAGCCCTGTGACATGACCCCATTGCACAGATGAGGAAACTGGCCCAAGAAAGGAAAAGCTCCTCCAGTCTCAGAGCCCTTAAGTGGGAGAGTTGGGCTTGAACTCCTGTCTGTGCTCTCCTGGCCTCTTCCTCTGAGCTCTCAGCTACCTCCCCTGCTTAGGGACACTCCCCAGGGGTGCTGTGCGGATTGGTCACTGTCCAGGTGGGGCCAGATGGGGGCCATGCACCCAGCTCTCCCACAGTAGTCGTGCGGTCTGGGACAGGACCCTGTCTTTCTCTGGGCCTCTGTTCCATGAGGGCAGTGGGGCTGTTGTGAGATGTGCCAGGTGGCTGGCACTCTGGGCATGGCCCGAGAGGTCACCTGGTCAGTGGTGGGGAGGGGAAGGAGAGGAAGTTGGGTTTCAGACTAGGGCATAGCCCCTGACCACCCTTTCTTTGTCTCCCTAACGTCACTCTAGGAATCCCTGCAACTACAAGAGCAGGGAACCCCGGAAACAGAGGACGGAGAGGGACTGCAGCAGACCCTGAGGGATCTGGCACAGGTGTAGTGGGAGCCCTGGGGGCCCTGCCAAGGCCAAGCAGTCCTGTGCCACCAGCCATGCCTTCTGGTGGCCGTGGGCTAAACTGCAAGTGGGTGAGGGCCTGGTAGTCAACACCCCTGATAGATAGATCACTGGCTTCTGGCCTGGGGAGATTTTGGGGCAGGCATGTGCATGCATCAGGCGTGTTTTTCAAATCGCGAAGTCTAGGACTCGAACTGCGCAGTTGGCGGTGTCCGAGGAATGGAGACATTTTCGGGGCCCATGTGTGAAAAGCACTGAGTCTTCACAGTAAATGGGAGGCCTTAGCAGGTGGATGAGGTCTGTGAGCCTGCAGAGGAGGTGGAATCAGGAAGGCTAATGGCAGGAAGGGGTGTGGATGTGCTGGAGCATCTGAGAGGAGTGGTCCCACTGTCTCGCCTGGGCCTCTGGCCACCTGACTCCTGTCCTCCCTCTGTGTCCCTACCCACCCTCAGGCAGTCCTGTCGGACATGGAGAGTGGCGTTCAGCTAAGTGGCTCTGAGCCCACTGCAGATGCGTCGGATGGCAGCCTGCGGGGGCTCTCTGGTCTGCGGACTCCGTCCCCATCGCGACGCTCCTCGCCAGGCCGTGGCCGCTCTCCTCGTCAAGGCCTGTCCCCAGCCTGCTCTGACTCCTCCACCCTTGCCCTGATCCACTCTGCCCTGCACAAGCGCCAGCTGCAGGTCCAGGTAGAAATAGGCCTGGCAGGGGGTTAGAAGGTGGGGCCTGGGTGCCTGGGGGCGGGGCCAAGGTCTCTGGAAGTGGCCTCTGAGTGCGTTGGGACAAAGTCAGAGCTTTGAGAAATAGTGACTGAGTGTGGTAGGGCATAAGGAGATGGCATAGGGCCCAGACGGAGGGGCCAAATCTGAGCCCGGAAGTGGGAGGGCTTGGTGGCCATAGGTTGAGCCTGGGGAGGGAGGAGCTTGGGGTGGAGCTAGAGGCCAGTGGACAGGGAGATGAGGTCCTCTGGCCAGCAGAACCGGGGCCCAGGAAGAAGTCTGGAGAGGAGCTGGAGCCCAGAATGAAAGGAGTTTGGGGTCTAGGGGCAGACTTGGAACCTCAGCAGGGAAGAGTCTGAGGGCAGATCCTGGCTGCAGGGAGAGGAGCCTAGGAACCCAGGGGCAGAGTCAGAACTTGAAAAAGAAAGGTGTGCTTGGGGTTTGCCTGGCATCCTGGGGGTTTAGATGGGAGTTTCCCAGGACTGCAGGGAAATGAGGGTGTAGAGGGTGGGAAGGGCACAGAGAAAGGGCGAGGTACCTAGTCCTCGTCTCTGCCCCAGGCCAGGCCCAGGCCTAGTGTTGGCTGGCATCCACACTGGAACCAGCCCAGACTCAGTGATCTCCGTGTTGCAGGACATGCGCGGACGCTATGAGGCCAGCCAGGACCTGCTGGGCAGTCTGCGGAAGCAGCTTAGTGACAGCGAGGGTGAGCGCCGGGCCCTGGAGGATCAGCTGCAGCGCTGGCGGGACAAGACCGATGAGGCCACGCAGGCCCACGAGGATGCTCAGCGGGAAGCTCAGCGCTTGCGGAGTGCCAACGACCTCCTGAGCAGGTACTGGGAGGTCAGAGGTGGGGGGACACAGGCCAGGTGCTAGCTGGCACAGGTATCTACTAATACTTAGTTAAAAATATAAAAAGTAAAAATTTGGGCCAGCCAGAGGCATGGTGGTTAAGGTGCTGGATCTCACATGGCCTCTGCACAATTTTTATCTTTTAATTGTTTTTTAAAAAGAATTATTTTATTTAACTTCATTTATTTATTTTTTTAATTGACCAGAGAGGGACGGAGCAAGAGAGAGAAAGAAAGAGAAAGTGAGAGAGCAAGCTGCCAGGTCCAGGTCTCGAACCACAGTCGGCCATGTGGGGGTCCAGCAACCTTAACCACCACGCCACCTGCTGGCCCTGCCCCTGCACAATTTGAGTCCTGGACTCAGGTTTGAGAAATACCCTGGTACATGTGGAAATGGGTGCTTTCTCATTTTCCCTTTCTCTATCTCTGACTCTCTGGTGAGTGCTAATGCCCTGTGGGAAATTTAAAAAGTAAAACCAAACAAAAGTAAAAATTCAGTTCTTCAGCTACCCCAGCTGTGTTCAAGTACTCAACATCACACATGACTCTAGGGCATTTCTGTCATCTCGGGAAGTTCTACTGAGAGCACAACTCCAGATTGTGTTTTGTGGAGATTTTCTTTTTCGATTGCCAAAGGGCATGTGGCTGCCAGAGAGAAGGGGCCAGGGATGGGGGCATGCCCCACTGGGATGTGGTCACACAATAATCCACCAAAATTGCTTCTCTCATTTCTCTGTCCTGATGGGATGTGGGACACACACACACACACACACACACACACACGCCCGGCCTGTTTTGCAAGCCACCTGGATCAGGATTTGAACCTCAGTCAGCCATGAGATCTGACTCCCTTAGCCATTAGACCATGTGACTAACGCTCTTGGAATTTTTTTTTCAGGCTTACTTTTCATTTTTATTTTTTAAAATTTTTGCCATAGGGCATGTGCACTCACTGGAGGGAGAGAAAGAGAGAGACAGACAGACAGACATAGAGGGAAAGTGAAAAATCACCCCCCAGACAAATGGCCATGCCACAATCACTTGTCCATACTTCTGAGATTTTGGGCCCGTATGTACATGCACCCACCATGATTTTCAAGTCACCAGATACAGGACTTGAACCTCAGCTGGCCATGTGAGAATTCAGCTCCTTAACCATCATAGCACTCTCCTCTTAGAACTTTTTTTTGTTGTTGTTGAGAGGTTTTTGCTATAGGGCACATGCACTTGCCAGACAGACAGAGAGAGACAGAGAGATAGAAAGCGAGAAATCACCTCCCAGGGGGTATGGCCACGCTGCAATCCCTTTTCCTCCATTCTCCTCTCGGGATCTTGGGCACGCACGCACATGCGCCCGGTGCGAGTTTAAGCCACCCAGGTCCGGGACTTGAACCGCGGTCGACTACGTGGGAGTCCAGTGACATAGCCATTATGCTAACTACTGGTCCCTTAGAACTTTTTTAAAGAGTTTTTTACCTTAGGGCATGTATGCTTACAGGAGAGACAGAAACAGTGAGAGGGAATGTGAGAAGTCACTCCCCAAGGGGATAGCCATGCCGCAATCCCTTCTCCTCCATTCTCCTCCTGGGATCTTGGGTGTGCACATATATGTGCCCAGCGTGATTTTTAAGCCAGCAGGTATGAACCACAGTTGGCCATGTGGGAGTCCACCAATGTAACTGCTGTGCCATCTGCTGGCTCCACCTCTTAGAGACTTTTAAGAAATAAATGATCTAACTCTTAGCCCACTTGGTTGTTTTTGTTTGTTTGTTTTTCTCTAATTTGCTATAGGGTACATGTGCTCGCTGGAGACAGACAAAGTGAAAGTGAGAAAGCACCCCCAGGGGCGATGGTCACTCTGCAATACCTTCTCTTCTGTCCTCCTCTTAGGATTTTTAATTATTTTACTTAACTTTATTTATTTATTTATTTATTTTATTTTAATTTGACCAGAGAGGGGATATATATATATATACATACATATATATATATATATATATATA